TGTTCTGAATCCTCAGATGGAATGTCTATCCCATTTTGTTAGCCAAAGAAGAGGTATGAGGGTCGCTCATTACAATTTAAAATACCTTCTGTTGCCAGGGAATTTGGTCCCCTCTATTGGGTTCTTAATTTCATTAGTAAAAGAATTTAGAAATGTACTCAGAATGAAGCTTGAAGAAAATGTTATTATGGCTTGAGAAACATAACAGGGTAGACAGACTGTAAATCTCAGAAGCTGCCAGGAGGAGACAGATAGAAAAGAGGAAGAAAGCCATGTGTTAGAGTTAGGATCCAAGAAAGAGGCAGCTTCACCAGTGGAGGTCAGCATATTTCACAATAGGAAAAAGTTGTGTGGTGGGGAAGTAGCTTCAGAGAATCCATGAGAAACCCCAGAGTGCCAAGGAAAGCATGCTTAGGATTTTGTCCAGAATCTGAAAAAAAGGGAAGAATGAAAAGGAAAACTCAGAGTTTCCTGGGTAACTGAAAATCAGGCAAGCTCCAAAGGCTACATGATGGAAACCTACAAGGCACTGCCCAAAGGCTTCTGGGAAGAGTGAACACATTATTTCTTTAAAGGATAATTAGTCCTCCTTCTCTTTAACATATCTTCAGGTGAATCAGATTTTTGTGGGGGTGGGGGCACAAAGCAGGTAGAAGCAAACTCCTGCCCAGGTAATTGACAGGCCCAGCTTGATTAACTCTTTAAAATTTTTGAAAAATTATTATTTTTATTTTATGTGTGTGTATGTTTTGCCTGCATGTGTGCCAGGTGCCCATGGAGGCCAGAAGAGGTTGTCAGATGACCCAGAACTGGAGTTACAGATGCTGTAAGACACTGTGTGGGTACTGGGAATTGAACCTGGATCCTGTGGAAGAGCAGCCAATACCCTTAGCTACGGAGCCATTAATTTCTAAAGGAAGGACACAAAATATGGAAAGTTCTTTCTGGCTAGCTTAGAATGTCAGGTCTCCATCCAGGGCTAGAGGTAGGACTTCTGACCTTTTCATTCAGAGGAAAGAACTGTTTTTCTTTTCTTTTCTTTTTTTTTTCTTTTCTTTTTTCTTTTTTCTTTTTTTTTTTTTTTTTTTTTTTTGGTGTTTCGAGACAGGGTTTCTCTGTGGCTTTGGAGGCTGTCCTGGAACTAGCTCTTGTAGACCAGGCTGGTCTCGAACTGAAAGAGATCCACCTGCCTCTGCCTCCCCAGTGCTGGGATTAAAGGCCTGGCGTTAAGAACTGTTTCTTAATGAGTCTTATTAAAGCCAGAGTACTTCCCCTTTTTCATTTAAATCCCTAGGAGTGGTGGAGCTGATGTTTACCTTTGTAGTGTTTTCAGAGAAATGGGAGGTGGGGTCCAAAGCCAACCGAGCAGGGTGGTTCATTCTCAGGGGTCTCTAAAGCCATCCCTGTAACTCTGCCATGGCTCAGCCTGTTTCTCCCCCATAAAGTCAGTGCTACAGTAGTGACAAACACCAGCAGAATATAGTGCCCATCAGTCTTAACTCCAGCCTGGACTATTCTCTGTCCAAAGGTGGGGATGCTTCTCTATGTGAGCATTCTCATCCCATGGTGGATAGACAGTCTTTGTTTTAGGTAAGTTAAGTTATGGAAGAGTTTGAACTTGTAGTATAACTAGTTCCTTCTGGCATCAACATGAGCACAGACTAAGCTTGCTGACCTTCAGAAGACCTTGACCTGTGATCACAGCAATGAACTAAGGAGAGCGTGCAACAGAAAACCAGGTCTGTGCTAATGAGGATGTCATGGGAGGAGGCAAGAGGGTCACAAGGCCCTAATCTGAGATTCCGGTCCCATTTATTCCTGCCCTACGTATACGTGTTTGGGAGTGGGTCGGTAGCTGTTGGTGTTAAGGGCTTGTAAGGGGTGGAAGATTGTCTGTGGTGGGACTTTTCAAGACTTGCTCCTGCTGTGGTGGGGCATAGTACTGTAAGAAACCCCAGTAAACGCACAGGTTTGCCAAGCTGGGGGTACACAGAGTTGGATCCTGTGTGTGGGTGCCCTCTCTACCTGGGATGAACAGATGTTAGTCCATGGCCGTCATGCTGAGGAGCATGACTGGCAGCAGGCAGGCATGGCACTGGAGCAGTAGCTGAGATCTTATATCTGATTCACAAGATGGAGGCAGAGAGAGAGAGAGAGAGTCTAGGCCTGTCATGGGGCTTTTGAAACCTCGAAGCCCATTCTCAGTGACACACCTCCTAACAAAGCCACACCTCCTAATTCTTCCTAAACAGTCTACTATCTAGTAACTTATAGATGGATTTTTCTTTGGGCCACCAGCTCACAAAAATGACACAGAAACTTATTATTAATTATGAAAGCTTGGCCTATAGCTTAGCTTTGTCCTACTAGCTCTTATAAATTAAACTAACCCATATATATTAATCTATGTTTTACCTCATTTTTTTTTTTACCTCTCTTCCATCTTGGATCTCCTGTTTCCTTTTTGTGTCCTCTGGCATCTTTCCCGCCTAGATTCATCTCCTCTTCTCTCTCTGTCCCAAAGTCCCATCTTGCCTAGCTATTGACCATTCAGCTCTTTATTAAACTGATCAGAAGGTGCCTTCACATTGTACAAAAAGATTATTCTACTTCAGGAACCAAATATTCAAATGTATGAGCCTCTGGGGGCCATTCTCATTCAAACCACCACATCTTCCATTAAATTCCTCTGGCTCCTGCACTCCTGAACCTCTTGTGGTGGTTTGGATGCAAATGGCTCCCATAGGCTCATATATTTGGTACTTTGTCCCTAGCTGATGAAACTGTTTGAGAAGGATTGGGAAGCATGGGTTTTGTTGGAGGAAGTATGTCACTGGAGACAGGCTTTGAAGTTCCAAAAGCCCTTTCCATTTATGTTTGTGGATCAAGATGTAAGCTCTCAGCTACTGTTCCAGTGCCGTCTGTGTGCCTGCTGCCGTGCTCCTCACTGTGATGATCATGGACTCACCCTCTGAACTGTAAGCCACAAATAAACTCTTCTATAAGTTGCTTTGGTCATGGTATCTTATCATAGCAATAAAAAAATAACTTAAGACACCACTTCATAAGGTTGAGGGAGGGAGCTCATCTTGATAGGTAAGTACTAATATCACATTATACAAAGAGTATGTAAAGTGAGAGATAATGCTGCCATTCTTGTAAAAGGACAGCCTGCTGCATCTTCTAATCAAAAATTGCATGGCAACTTTAACACAATAGTAAATTCTATCTCAGTGGTTCTCAACCTTCCTAAGGCTGTGTGACCTTTTAATGCAGTTCTTCATGTTAATGGTGACCCCAACCATAAATTATTTCATTGTTACTTCATAACTGTAATTTTTTTCTGTTATAAATTGTAATGTAAATACCTGATATGTAGGATATCTGATATGACTTCCAAGGGGGTCACGGCCCATAGATTGAGAACCATTGGTTTACCCTGTAACTATAGGTGTGCCCTTACCTGGAGAGATTGCTAGGAGAATAATGATTGTGTACTGTTTGTGACAAGAAAAAAAGAACAGCCATCTAAATACTCATCTGCAGAGTCTAGGGAGATGGGTAAAGTGCTAGCCACACAGGCATGATGACCTGAGTTCAGATCCTCAGCACACTTGTAAAAAGCTGGGGTGCTGGGGTGCTGGGGAGGCAGAGACAAGAGGACCCTTAGTCTCACTGACCAGGTGACCTTACTGAATCAATGAGCTCTACGTTCAGTGAGAGGTTCTGTTTCAAAAAGTAAATTAGAAAGCAGTAGAGCAAGATACCCATCATCTATCTGCCTCTGGCCTCTACACACTGTAGTAACTTTTTCTCTGTCCCTCTAGCCAGCTCCCAAATCACTGCATGGAGACTTATCATTAATTATGAAAGCTTGTCCAATTGCTTAAGATTGTTTTTAGCTAGCTCTTATAAATTAAATTAACCCATTTCTGTTAATCTGTGTGCTGTTCTGAGACTCATTTCCTTCATCTATGTACTGTCCATCCTGCTTGCCTGCTTCCTCCATGTCTCCTCTCATCTCTGCCCTTCTTCCCATTGTCCTCTGTGCCTGAAAATCCTGCTTAGCTATTGGGCATTCAGCTTTTTATTAAACCAATCAGAGTGACACTTCTTCATGGTGTACAAACGATTATTCCACAACAACATACATGTGCACACATATAAATACATGCATATACATATAAAAAATAAAGACACAAATACCCATCCACAAGGAGTGTGGTTACATAACAGGATACATACAGGATCTAAGGAGTGGAATGTATTTTGCCATTGTGAAGCAGTTTTGTGAGAAGGAGGTTTTCATAAGAGATACCTGTCACTGACAGTACTGTATGAAAAGAGTAAGAATGTGAACCATGTAGGCAGTTCATGTGTCTAAAAGCCATCTAGTTACAATATTAAAGAAGTACACAGGGCTGGAGAGATGGCTCAGAGGTTAAGAGCACTGTCTGCTCTTCCAGAGGTCCTGAGTTCAATTCCCAACAACCACATGGTAGCTCACAACCATCTGTAATGAGATCTGGTGCCCTCTTCTGGCTTGCAGGGATACATGCAAGCAGAACACTGTACATAATAAATAAATAAATCTTTAAAAAATATTAAAGAAGTACACAGGAGCAAGTAATCTAATGTTTTATGTGATACAGTTTATACAAATATCATTTCGAATGTAACCAGTATAAAATTATCAAGATGCTGAGTGTTTTATGCACATGCATGTGTGTATTTATGTTTACATTTGTGTATATGTGTGTGTGCATAAACACACACATATTTAGTAAACCAATCTGTTAAACATTTAGATACCCAGCACATACCACTTAGAGAAGCCACAATTTTGTGGTAATGGCCACTCACGACTGCTGTCCATCATATTGAATTGAACAGTTATAGACAAATTACAAAAAACAAAACAAAACAAAGATTTGAAAGCAAACCAAAAAATATTACACAGAGAGAAGTGATGACCATTGGCTTTTCAACAGAAACAACAGAGTCCAGAAAAAGTCAAATGGCATTTCATATGTGGAAAGAAACTGTCATTCAGTCTGTACCTAGCGAGAACTGTCTTCAAGAGTGAATGCAAATCCCAGGTACTTGAAGGGGCTTTTTGGAGCCCATTCCCTATGGTGGGATTCCTTGCTCAGCTTTGATACAGCAAAGAGGGGCTTGGTCCTGCCTCAACTTGGTATACCAGACTTTGTTGACTCTCCAAGGAAGGCTTTACTCCCTCTGAGGAGTAAAACGGGATGGGAGAAGGGGAGGGAGAAGGAACTGGGGTTGGTATCTAAAGTAAAAAATAAATTTGAAAAAAAAGAAAAGAATGAAGGCAAAATGAAGCCATTCCCAGGGAAAAGGAAAATCAGCTTGTTTGTTGCTAGCAGAACAAGAAAAACTCTAGGAAGTTCTGGTAGCTAAAAGGAAGTTGTACTGGCTGAGGATTTAGGTTAGAGCATTAGAAAGGTAACTGGGTAAAGCAAGAGTTCCTTCTTTGAGGGCTCCCCAAACAAAGTCATTCTCACAGATCCAGGGACACTTGAGTAAGATCTGTATGTACTATTAAGAAGGATTGCAATGGAATTTTGGTCTCCTCACTCAGTCTTGTTGTGCTGTCTTCTTTGCGTCTAAATGAAAACTGTACAGGAGTATGATAGGTGTAGTCCTGTACACTGGGAAAACCCTGCCGCTATAACATAAAGAAGAGATGGTGCTATTCTCTATACTTGCAAGTTTCTGGAAATCTTTGAAAGAATATTTTTTCTGTAGAGAAGAAATCAGAATATATGCTGTGCCAGGCAGTGGTGGCACACGCCTTTAATCCCAGAACTCAGGAGGCAGAGGCAGGGGGATCTCTGTTAGTTCGAGACCAGCCTGGTCTACAAGAACTAATTCCAGGACAGCCTCCAAAGCCACAGAGAAACCCTGTCTCGAAAAAAAAAAACATAAAAACAAACAAACAAACAAACAAACAAAGAATATATGCTGTAATTCTTAGAGAAACCACCGATAATGCAAAGAAGTATATGTTAGCTACTTTTCTTGTTGGTAGGACAAGATATCTGACAGAAGCAACTTAAAGGAGGAATTTATTGGCTCACAGTTTTAGGAGCTATAGTCCAATATAGCCAAAAAGGAATGGCAGAGTAGATTAGTCTAGGACAGTGATAATGCTCATTACAGTTTGTTCACATCTGTATAGATCTGGAAGCAGAAAGCTCTAACTGGAATAAAAGTTTTCCAGGGCCTACTCACTCTAGTGACCCACTTCTGCTGGCTAGACTACAGCTCCAAAATTCTACAGTTTCTTAAAGCAGTGCCCTAGGCTGGGGACAAAGTGAATGTAGACACATGAGCATGTAAAGGATATCTCCCATCCAGACCATAGCTAGACATAATGGAAAAGTCAATTTAGAAATTTAGTCTGATTCTGACTGTTTTTGTGGTTACTATAAACTGAATCTAGGGCCCCATATATGCCAGGCAAGTGCTCTGACACTGAGCTATCTTTCTAGCCCTAAATTGTGACCTGAAATAAGTCAGGTGCTGAGTAAGTAGTTCAGTGGTAGTGTTCATCCCAAAGATGTGAGGAGAAATACAACTGACCCAAATCATCATGACCAAATTAATTAAAACAAGCAATTAATTAAAGCAAGGGTTTTTGTTCATTTACAAGGGTTGACTCTCCCTAAGGCAGGGTGTGAGAGGTCAGCATTGGGTGTGAAGGGCTTTTGTAGCTCAGGGGTAGGAGGTTTCCAAATAGATGATTTGGTGGGCCAAATAGGTGGGGTTAAAGGAGCAGAACATAAGCATAACAAGTTAGTCCCTCCTGAAACAGCCTTATTGCAAAGTGGGCATAACAACAGGTGGTCATAGCAAGGCAGTCATAGGTGGTCATGTAACTCTTTGAAACAAAGACATGATTGCCATTCCTGGAACAGGCAGTACAGAACTGTTTGTAGTTAAGGTTACAGGTGCGGCATAGCCCAATCCTTAAGAAATATAGGTTTAATCATAAACAGAAGTGAACCTAGTTTGTTTTTATTATAAAATAGCTTTTAAAATTAAAATGGAGGCAGTCTGGTTCTTCAGTAGAGTGTGTGTTTAAAATGAGTGAAGCCCCGAGTTTCATCTCCAGCACTGAAAACAAAACAAACACATAGAAAAAGTTGTGAGAATGTTAAGAAATTAATGAAAGATTGCTTTTCTGCCTCTTCCCACAAACTCCAAAGAATAATTAGGGAAGTTTCCTGGATGTTGTGTGAGTAACCCTGCATAGGTGTATATGTGTAGCAACTTTCCCAAAGATTGTTTTATAGCTTACCTTTTCATATGAATCAGTAGTATATTAGGATAAAATCTGGTGTCAGGCTACAAGTTTACTTCATTCTGTTTAATAGCTATATGTATTTCATGTAACATATATTATCACTTGCATATCCATTGCCTTATTAATAAACATGTAGGTTACCCTTAAAATTTCACGTCTATGTTATTATAATAATATTATTATTTTGCTGTATAACAGTACCACAGATTCAGTGTTTAGAACAGCACAAATTGATTTGTCTCACAGTTATGAAAGTCTTAAGCTGGTTTATTGTCAAGCTGTCTACTGGACTGGTTCTGGATAGATACTGGGAGGGAAAATCCTTTTCACTGCCTAGAAGTTAGTTCCATCACCTCAACCTCAGCTTCTATTATCACACGGGCTTCTCTTACATCTGAGTCTTTCTTACGAGAACCATTGTCATTATAGCTCTACCCGAATAATAATCTAGGTAGACTGCCTATGCCACAACCCTGAAGGTAAACAATTCCAGAGTCCATTTTGTCATGCATGTCACATTCACAGGTCCTGTAACCAGCCTGCCAGGGACCCTTCTGAAGGAATGTCCCTATATAGTGGTAACAGTGTTGTGGTGTAACAGTCCCAGTAGTAAAAATGCAAGGCTAAAATGATAAGCCTTTCCCATTTTGATGGAATCTCAGTATTTTACTCACCCATAGCATTGTTCCAAAGCTTTAATACCGTCATCTGTGTTATACAAGAATCTCTTTCCTTTGCTTGTGCTATCTCTTATTTTAGGATTAAGTTTCTTTTGGAAGAAATTACTTTTTTTTTTCTGTGTTCTTTTTGTTTCTTTGTTTGTTTGAGACAGGATTTCTTTGTGTAGTCCTGACTGTCCTGGATCTTGCTCTATGGACCAAGCTGGCTTCAAACTCATAGAGATCATGTGCCTCTGCTTCCTGGGTGTTGGAATTAAAGGTGTGCATCACCACCACCAGGCTGAAATTACTTTCTTAATGACTCTCTAATACCTGTAGAGTTTTGCAAATCCTGTGGTTCTTTCGATTTTCATATTGAATAGAAACCTATCTGGTAGTATCTTAGAGGTCTGTTTACCTGAACTCAAACTCTGGTTCTACCATTTTTTTTTTTTCTAGTATTCTCTTGAGAAGGTTACTTAACCTGTTTATTTATTTATTGAGTGCGTGTGTATATGCGCCACAGCACAAGTGTGGGGATCAGAGGACCACTTGTAGGAGTTGGTTCTCTTCTATCATGTGGGTGCTCAGCCATCAAACTCAGGTTGTCAGGGCTTGGCAACAAGTGCCTTTACCTACTGAGTCAACTTCCTGACCTAGGTTACTTAACCTTCCTAGGCCTGTTTTTCCATTTGCAAAGTACTTTAACTATAGCCTCTTCCGTAGAGGGTTTTCCTAAGATTTAAAGGCAATGGTATATGCATAGTTCCTACCACAATCCCTAACATACTTACTAAACTATTTCTTTATGTCCATGGATTTCTTTGTGTTTGGTTGGTATATTCCTCAGCTTTCCTGCACTGCTCTACATGTGCTCTGACTTATGTTCTTTCTTTTTTTTTTTTTTTTTTTTTTTTTTTTACTTAGATTTTGAGTGAGAGAGGCTATGCTTGCTTAGAAACACCATAAAATTCTAGGTTGGGATTTTAATTCCCTACTGTCAGGGACTCTGCCCCCTCCAATCCCTAATCTCCACAGCTGGTGTCATGTGTCTTTGATTCTGGTGGGTTCTCAATAAATACTTGCTTAGTGAAATAGTTAAGAACTATTGCACAGAGATGACATAACAGAATACTTAGTACCCTGAGATAGTTTTAGAATTTCTTGAAATGCATCAAGTGTCACCTGCATCCCAGAAGGTGATGTTCTATGGCAGTGGCTCTCAACCTTCCTAATACTGTAGCCCTTTACTACAGTTCCACATGTTGTGGTGACCCCAACCATAAAATTATTTTTGTTGCTACTTCATATGTAATTTTGCTACTGTTATGAATTGCAATGTAAACATCTGATATGTAGGATATCTGATACGTGACCCCTGTGAAGGAGCCATTCACACACCCCCAAGGGGATTGTGACCCACAGGTTGAGAACTGTTGTTCTAGGGTACTCAGGAATGGGTTTGCTGTTCTAGGAGCCTGTGACATTCAGGGATGTGGCTGTGTTCTTCAGCCAGGATGAGTGGTTGCGTCTGGACTCTGCACAGAGAAGCCTGTACCGGGAGGTGATGCTGGAGAACTACAGCAACCTGGCCTCACTGGGTAAGGGTTTTTGCCTCTAAACAATGTATTAGAAGAACATCTTGAATCTGTGTCTTTGGGTTCAGGGTCTACTGTTTTCTACTCCCTTGTGCTGCAGGGGAAAGTCAAATCTCTGAGGAGTTGAAAGTATGTTTTTTTCTCCGACGCATTTTATGCTCCCTTCTCTTTTCTTTGCCCTTCCTTGCACCTTGCTCCCAGTCAGTTTTCTGACACAGGACAGTTTAGACTCTGAAATTCATATAAGACATTTAGATGTTGTTGAAAACTGTACAGAAATACCCTGTCTCAGAGAAGCTCATTTCCAGAACCATGTATTAATTTTGAATTGGACCTTGCTTCTTGCTCCATGTCCTAACTTCACTTCCCCTTTGGAAGTGATTACACTGTATGTCCCCCTTCTAGGACTGTCTTTCTCTGCTTTTGAGTCAGGTGAGTGGCATATGAAGTGGCTCTGAGTTGCTTTTCAGGCCATTCATCCCAACTCTGTTCTCTTTCTCATGAGCAGGGATCCAGGCTTCAATACCTCGGGTGATTGGCAAACTGCAGAAAGGACAAGATCCCTGCATGGAAAGAGAAGACCTTGAAGACACCTGCTTAGGTGAGTAAGCTGTTGGGAAATGGAGACACAGAAGTCTGTGTGAGTATGTCATGAAAGAGCAGTTGCAACAGTGACATTCTTGTAAGTAATGAGTCCTATTGTGATTTTAGGGCCCATTGTTTTTAAACAGATAGCTTGTTGACTTGCAGCTATCTAAATGCAATGATGTAACATTCATCCATTTTCAGTATGGATTGAGTAAAGAAAGCCGGATTTTAGTTCAGAGTTCTTAATATGAACTTAAACTAAATCTTTTCCTCTAGAGTCAGAGCTGAACTTGGGGTTGGGCATACTCAGACCTTCAGGACTTCACAAAACTTACAGATTTTCACTACATTCATAAGATTCCTACAAAGAGATTACAGTCTTCTGGTTCCAGATTATAGAAGAAATTAATATAGCATTTCTCCTTTGGCCTAACAGAAAGGTAGACAATGATGAAAGATAGCAAGAAAAACATGTTATTCTTTCAGTCTGAAGTATAGATTGGTACTTGTATAGATTGTATAGTATAGATTGAACATAGCTCACTTGTTCTACAGTTTTTCCTTTTGATCAGTGTCTTGAACTTAGGTCAAAAATGGGTAGGGCTGTGTTTGGGGCTGTTGTAATTTTTAAGATCCAAATCTCATCTTTTTAACAGACTGCTTTCCCCTTGTGAAAGCTGTGATCAAATTATAGTTGAATGTGAAGTCACAATTTTAAGAAAAACAGCCCAAATATTTTAAAATTATTGACTGTGGGTTTCAGAGGAAGCATGGGGAAAAATACAATGAAAGTGACTTGTGAGTAGAAGAGAGTAAAGGGAACTCCTTGCCCACCCCTTCTGTGCACAGAGCAGGAAGTGAGGAAAACCCGAGGGATTCCATGGTGCTTAGCTTCAGCTTGTCATGTCACATTGCTCCATGTCCTTAAGTCTTCTGCTCTGTCCTTTGGTCTGTCCTTCTCTGCCTTAATTCTTTTTCTCTAGAACTGCGGTCTCTTCATCTTTAGCATTGATTTGTCAGAGACTCCATACTGGAGAACAGTGTGGGAGAACCTTTATGTGTGTCCTACCCTACTCCTTAACCCATCTACTTCTTATTGTCCTGCTTTCTCGCCAGAGTTAGGTCTATGTTTGGTATCAAGCTGCACCAGACCTCTTTCATGTGTGTTGCTGCCAATCAATGAGATTGGCCTTCTGATGCATCCATGTCTCTCTTCCAGCAAAGGAAGAATTAATTCTTCCAATTCTTTTCAGATTTCCAGATTTGGCCAGGGGTAGAAGCATTGCCTCCCAAACAAGACATTTTTATCGAAAAAACATCTCATGGGCTAATAAAGCATGAATCTACTGAGGGTACTCACTGGAAAACCAACTTTGGAGAAGTTGTGAAATCTGAGAGCCTATTAGCACAGGAAGAAGAAAAGAAAGTTCATGAGCAGGGGGCAGCTTCATCCAAGGAAACTCTCAGTGAAGATGGAAATCCCATAGACCCTGAGCTGGGGAAATCATTGTTTATAAATAAAGCACTTGTCTCACAAGACAGTGATCCCCAAGAAAGGGTACCTAGTATGTATGACACTGTGGAGAAAGATTTACCACAGGATTTTGATTTAATGAGAAGCTTCCAGATTTACATGGGAAAAAAACCTTATGTCTGCAATGAATGTGGGAAGGCTTTTAGCCAAAGTCTTCATCTTCTGGAGCACCAGAGGATTCACACTGGGGAGAAACCTTACAAGTGTGATGAGTGTGGGAAATGCTTCAGCCATAGATCTTCCCTTCTGGCTCACCAGAGAACCCACACTGGAGAGAAGCCATACAAATGTAGTGAGTGTGAGAAAGCCTTTGGCAGCAGTTCCACACTCATCAAACACCTGAGGGTGCACACTGGAGAGAAACCTTACCGTTGCCGGGAGTGTGGGAAGGCCTTCAGCCAGTGTTCAACCCTCACTGTGCACCAGAGGATTCACACTGGAGAGAAGCTCTATAAGTGTGCTGAGTGTGACAAGGCCTTCAACTGCAGGGCAAAGCTTCACAGACATCAGAGGATCCACACAGGTGAGAAACCCTATAAATGTGCTGAGTGTGGGAAAGGCTACAGTCAGTTTCCATCCCTAGCTGAACATCAGAGACTCCATACTGGAGAACAGCTTTGCCAGTGCCTACAATGTGGGAGAACCTTTACACGTGTCTCTACCCTTATTGAACATCAGAGAATTCATACTGGACAGAAACCATATCAATGCAATGAATGTGGGAAGACCTTCAACCAGTACTCATCCTTCAATGAACATCGGAAGATTCATACTGGGGAGAAACTTTACACATGTGAAGAATGTGGGAAAGCCTTTGGCTGTAAATCAAACCTTTATCGACATCAGAGGATCCACACTGGAGAGAAACCCTATCAGTGTAATCAGTGTGGAAAGGCCTTCAGCCAGTATTCATTCCTAACTGAACATGAGCGAATCCATACTGGAGAGAAGCTCTATAAGTGTATGGAGTGTGGGAAGGCCTATAGTTATAGGTCAAACCTTTGTAGACACAAAAAAGTTCACCTTAAAGAAAGGCTCTATAAATGGAAAGAATACGGAACACCTTTTATCTATGGATCATCCCTTACTCCATATCAGAAATTTCTGAGAGAAGACAAGCCCGAGAATTTTAATTCATCCGTGTAATGCAAGACAGCAACCAGAAGAGTAATAACTAGAGTATAAATCCAAATAGATTTCAACTTTTGTTATGTGTACAACAAATAGTCACTACTAAGTCATGGACAGTTGAACAGTGAAAATGCAGAGAATGGTGATGGCAGCCATTTAAGAATTATTGCAAAAAAATTTAAATATCATTTTTTAAATTCATAGAAAAAGAATGAAGGCCTCATTTAAAAAACAAAACACATGAGTAACTGTTGCATATAAACATTGTTTCATGAATTTTCTTTTCAAGATAGTCTCTGAAATAGTTGATAATGTGAAGAAGTGTGGGGTCTTAGTCCCTAAAATGGTGAGCTGGTCTAGGGAGAACTCCTTTTCATAAAGAGCCACTACAGAGGAAGATTATAATTTGTTGTGTATCAACAATAAAGCTCTTTATGAAGTGCCCCTTATACAACATACATGTGTGTATGTATGCATATATATATTCATATACACATATATGACTCTTACGTATTTATGGTCATGTCATTTAATAGTGAGGATACAGTTTGAAATGCTTCATTAGGCAGTTTCCTGTTTATAGGAACATCATTGCACTTGCACAACCCTAGATGGTCTGGATCAGCCAATCAATGTGATCTCTTGAGGTGATTAACATACCATACTATAAAAAAAATTGAGATTATAATTTCTCCTTTCTCTTTCTCCATATGCATGTATCCATACTTTTATAGCAATTTTTATTGGTTTGCTAGTTTATTTTAGATAGGGTCTCACTATGTAGCCTAGGATGGCCTTGAACTCATTATGTAGCCCAGATTGGCTTTGAACTTGAAGTCTTATTGCATCAGCCTCCCACATACTGGGATTGCAGTCATGAGCCATCATGCTTGGTGTAAATTTTATTAGTAGGATGTGTATACTGTAAAATAAAGATAAAAATATAGTATAGCCAATGAGTAAATTAGTAATATAGTTTGTCACCATCATCATATGTCATGTACTGTACATAGTTGTGTGTGCTGCAGTGTCATCTGGCTGCCGGCACAGCAGGTTTATTTGCACAAGTGTGTATTGATTGTGCCTAAGGTGTTATGATGGTTATAAAGTCATGACAGCTCTGATGTCATTAGACAAGCGGGATTTTTCCAGGCCAGTTATAGTCTAATGAGACCACTGTGATATATGTTGTCTATCATTGACCAAAACATCATCATAGGCTGCATGCACATACTCACATATATGTGTGTATGTGTGTGTGCCAATGTGTATACTCAGTTTACTAACTTAGATTTTACTTTTTCAAATTGAATGTTTCCCCCAAGGGAAACTTTCTTTTGCTTGCCTGTGTTTGTAGTGGATCTGGTTCTGTATAGCCTAATAGAGTCTTACAGTACTGTAGAAGTTGCCCTGAGCAGACACTGGTGGGCAGACTGTCATCCAAACAGTATACTATATGTTGTAGAAGGCCGATGTTGACAGAGTCTTTTGCTATAAATCTGTTAGCACATTAGGACCAGGAGGGATTTTAATTTATAACCTTTCAAGAATCGAGGTCTTCAGTTCTGATAATCTATGGTAGTTACAGGTTCATTTCTATCCTCATGGCTCAAGAACACTATTTGTTTTGTAACCTGTTCAAATGTTAGTGCTAGTGATGTAATCATTTATCTTTAGAGTTTCCTCTAGCTTTGGTCTTAGTTGTAGAGTTGAGACATACCTCCTTTTCTTCTGTCTCTGATTATACCTGCTTCTATAATAGCTACTTAAATTCTCAAAGCCAATGGTGGTATTGCTTTGGTATGCTTCAATGTAAGGCTGCCTTTTTATTACACAACTTCTAATACTTTTTTTTTCTTCGTAGTGCTGACGACAGAATCCAGGGCCTTGTACATGCTTAGGAGGTGCTCTACTGCTGAGCTATATCTCCAGCCCTTAGGATTTAAGTATAAAGTTATAGATGAATATTATATATTAAACAATCTATTCATCACCTTAATATTTTAAATCTCCCCTAGTCCTAGTTTCTTACCCAATTGGTTTGTCATTTTAGAAATTACTCTAAACATTAATTAGACCCTTCTGTCTGAGGAAAGAATTAGAATTAAGCAGGCATTCGGTGTAATATGTTTCTTGATTAATTTCTTTTGGCTCATCAGAGTAGTTTTTTGTGTTTAAGTGTATTTGTAAGAAAAATAAGGCTTCAAATGAACCTCAGAATTTCTTATGTCACTGGTAGCCTTGAACATGCTCAGTGCCCACTTTTTGGTTTGCAAATGCTATTCACCATCAGAAGGATTCAGGACTCCTTGAAGAAAGACTGGTTGCATGTTTGGTACCGAGGGAATATAAGTGAATCTAGAGTGTATTCTTATGATAAAACATCATTTTAGAATTACTAATATATTATAGATGAACACAGGGACTAATGAGAAGGTGCATCCTTTGGTCAAACTTAGGATACTTCAAACATCAAAAATACTCATGACGGGATTGGATGTAATATCTTCAAAAGGTTATGGGAAAAAAGTTTATAAAATTATTTGAAAAAAGCCATCTTTAAATATACACTCAAACAATAAGCTTAGAAAAAATCATTTAATAACTGCCATTGTCATTAAATCTGGCAAAAAAAATGATTGATGGTAAACCTACTACGTGAAAGAAAAAATTTAAGAAACATTGCATAACCCCAAAGAGCATAGCTGTGAGTTGCAGAAGAAGCACCTGCTTTCATATTGAGCTCTGGCAGGCAGAGTCACCTGCATGTGAGCAGCAGTCATTGAGGTTTCTGCCAAGGCCATAGAAGTACACTATTATTTATGACACACTGCTAAAACCAGTTAGTGAAAGTCTACAGAAATCTCTTATCTAGACTTACCTTCCTGTTTACAAAGAATTGAGAGTAACAAGTTAGATTATACAGCAATAGAGTTTGAGACATCGGAAATGATCATTGAGCTGTACTTTTCAAATAGTCAATATGTTTGAACAAAACGTGGACTTTTTTTTCCAAGACGCCTGAGATAGCCACATGCAAAGTGTGATCCTTTATTGAGAAATATAGTCAGGAAAGAAACTGTAAAAGACATTTGGGGGATATTTACGGAAATACAAAGATGAGAATAGGTATTAGATAATGTGGTATGCTTGTGTTTCTTAGAATAAGTAAGATACTGAGTTTCTATTTCCCTGTCATGTGCATGCGAAAGTTTTATGTTGACAAGTCATAATGTCTACAGCATATTTTAAATTGAAACTGTAGAATTGGTCAGTGATTGTTGAATCTTTGTGGTGGAATAGTTTTTCATTGCTCACCCTTTAAACTTGTCTGTATGTATGTTTAAATATAATAAAAGTTGAGGCAAAACACCGATTGTATAAAGTGATGAATGTGAGGTTTCTGTTCAGAATCTTCCTTTCTTATCAAAGAAGCCCAGGTTTGAGAGTTCATCTTCCATGGGCATGTTTGTAATCAGTAGAAATGATAGATTTGGCTCCCTTTAAATGGAGTAAGCACACCCTGCCATCTCTCACTGAATGCAACTAATACCCAGGCCTGCTGTTCAGATACCCTGAAAAGCAGTGGCAGCAGATTAAAGAAGGAAACACATGAAATAAAACATCTGGCATTCTGGGCATTTCTGTGGAGTATAGTGGTGGCTGAATAAGCCAATCACATCTTTGAGCTGTGACCCCTCTTGGGATAGAGTGTGTCAGAAAAAAAGGAAGCTCAAGAAAGTGATAGTTGTCTTGCATCAGAGAGACCCAGCAATAGTTGTCTTACATCAAGAGACCAAGAACCCAATAGTCCCTGAAGTTGAGTGCCTTCACCTCCCAGTCTAGCACCAAATGCCTAGAGGGTTCCTGGAGAGCCACTGGTCTTTGGTCCTCATTGGAGAATTCCAGATGCTTTTAAGCTAGCTAAACTAGTCTTGCTTATGCAGCATCAAATGAGACATCTCAAACAAGATGGAAGGTGGGGACAGACACCTGAGGTTGTCCTCTGACCTCCCCCTCCCCCATCACAGAAAAAAAAAAACCTTAATTTCTCTTGAGACTTCTTTGACCCATGAGACAGTCCCAGCTGATTTCTAATGTAGTTCAGTGTTTTTAAGAGTTTGTATTATTTCTGTTATTTGCTGAGCTATGTCTTGAGGTTCAGATGACCTGTCGTGGTAAATATTTCATTGTTGGTTTAAGAAGATATACTCCTTTGTTCTCTCTCTGTCTATCCCCTTTCTCTTGTTTTGGGTTATGCATCTCTGTAATCTTTGGACTCTTGATAATCTTCCGGTAAAATCTCAGACTTGTAGTTGCTGAGACCTGGGCTCTGACATAAGCATTCCTTTCCCTCCTCCCATCCTAGCATTAAGCAGGCCTGACCCTGCTTGTCTTCCAAGACTAGATGAGATTGAGCATGTTCACGATGGCATGGCCATGTACTATCCTCCTCTTCTCATAGAGGAGACTGGAAAGAGCTGGAACTGTCTAATGATATTCTGGTTAAAACGTTTCCAGTAACACCTTGCTCAGAGGCAAGCTTTTGTTTCAGAGACTAAGCTGGGGCTTATTTCAAAGTGCTAACCTTTCTCCTCTCTGCCAGCAGCACAATAAGATTTTTCTTCTGTTTTTTTCTGAGCCTTAGTTCTCTTCCTGTAACAACTTAGTGAAGAAAGGGTTTATTTTGGCTCACAGTTCAAGGGTACTGTCCGTCATAGTAGGGAAGTCAGGGCGTCAGGGGCTGGAAGCAGCTGGTCACATGACATCCATACCCTGGAAGCAGAGAGCGAAGGATGCCAAGGATGCTCACCCTCTGTTTCATACATGGGACCCCAGCCCATGTAATGGTGCTGTTACTGTTAGGATGGGTCTTCCCACCTCAGCTAAACTAGTCAGTGTAATTCCTCAAAGGCATGCTTAGAGGCTAAGTGATCTCTCACAGGTATGTCTGGAGAAATGGGCAGTGAGGGCAGGGGGACCACATGGCCAAAAAGAAGATAAGAAAGAGGAGGAAAAAAGAATGGAGAAGTCAAGATGAAGATCACACAAGAAGGAAGAAAGGGCCTTGGTGTCAATAGGGATTTTGATGGGAAAATGTTAGGCTGATCTGGGTGTGGTGCACACCCCTATAATCCCAGCACTTGGGAAACAGAGGCAGGTGGATTTCTGTCAAGTTTGAGACCAACCTGTTCTATATGATGAGCTCTGGAATAGTCTCAAAACAAGGGCTGGAGAGATGCCTCAATGGGTAAGAGTGCTTGCTGCTCTTCTGGAGGACCAGAGTTTGGTTCCCAGCACCCATGCCAGAGGGCTCACAACCACCTGAAACTCTGGGTACAGAGTATATGACACCCTCTTTGGACGTCTGTGAGAAGCCTCACACATGTGGCATGCACACACAACATAAATAAAAATCTTATTAAAACAAAAGCCAGTGTTAAAATCCGTATACACAGCACACACACCTAGATGTGGGAAATCTAAAAGCAAGGGAATAAATATGTCATTATGTAACCTCCTACCTGAGAAAGGTCACAAAGCCCCCTAACTTCAAGAGAAAGTCTCAAGTCATTTCTAAAAGCAAAACTGGCCACCTCATCATTAGATGATGTCACCAAGAAGGCAGTGTCAACTAGACATTTGCATGGATCCCAAAGTGACCCTCAAAATAGTGAAGTGGCCTGTGATTTTATAAAAGAGGTAGAAATTGACAAAACTGTGGCAAAAATACAAACTAAAATCTACAATCAGGAGTTACTAAGAATTATCAAATGAATACAAGGCGATATTATGAGGCTAGAAAGTGTTAGAATAACAAATCAAGGCTTTGAAATTTGGGGCATTCCTAGTATGTGGCACCCAACAGCTGGCAACTACATATTCTTTTCATGGCCCACTCCCATGGATTTTACTCCAAGTAGATGGAGGAGTATGCTCTTCAATTCCCTACCCCACTCCCTAATACTGGCTAACACACAAGTGGGTGAGAGAGAATATTTTCTAAGTGCAATGCTGCCTACAGGTTGGCTGCCTAAATTTAGAAAATACACATGCAAGACTTTCAGTAAAATTTGAATTCCAGAAAAATTTCCATTCTTTTTAGTAGGTCTCTTATTTTACACTACAAAGTGTTCCTGTTTCTCTGGATTTCAAATTTAGCTCAATGGCTAGTATTTTCTCCTGGAAATCATGGGAGAAAGGGTCTCAATGATTGGGCTGGGGGAGGGGCTCTTGGCTAAGTCACATTCCAGGGTAAGCTGGGAGAGGATGCCCCTTCTCTCCCATAGGCTGCTGACTTGAGCAGGCACAGCCAGTTCTCTTAGATGTCCTCCTGCCACAGGAAGGGCTCATCGCCAAGATTGGCTTGCTGTATGACATATCTCTCCTGCCTGGGTTTAGGCTCGGGGTGAGTGTAGTCAAGGTAACAAACCAACACGGTCATGATTTGCAAAACCACAGATGCTTTAATAAGTTATGAAAGTAAGGAGTCAAGTTTTGCTATACAGAACAAAAATGTATCAATGGCTGTTGTCAGATAAAATTTTGTGATTTAAGTTGAGCACCATGTTTGGCTCCATTTGGTGGCCACCTGTCACACAGGAGTAAATAGAGTCATAATGTTACCTCGGACAAAGACATTGCTATTGAGCACCAGTTATATACTTAAAACAGACCCGAGAAGACAACTCTTAATACAAATGTGAGGCTTATATATGAGATTCCACAGGGTTTCCTGAGGACTTTCTTCAAATGTGCTCCGATTCTCCCTAAGAATAAAAAATGATTCCTGGGTGCCTCAGGAGTTTTTTTCTGGATGATGTAGGGCAGTCTGGGGGACAATATGGTGCTGGAAACTTCTAGAGGACATGCACCTGCTTCTAGGGCTACAAGAATGCCTCCAAAGTAAGAGCTGCTTTGAAAGCTTACAGTTGTTTCTAAATCCATTCTTCAGATAGCCCTGTGCTCAGGAACCTGAGGCTTTTCTGAACCTAGTGGTCACTGTTTTCCTTGGGCAGAGGTGGTATGAGCACCGCTACCTCCAGAGAGGCCTGGAGCCCATGACACAAGATGTTACATGGGACCTCATCTCCCTCAGGGTGTCTGTCTCACTGGGGTGTCCCATATGCGGCCTCTATGAAGCCCTGCTTTCCTGGGATCGGACAATGGAGTCTTACTATCCCACAGACACTAGAATGGGTAAACTCAGTCATATCCTGGCTATTAGTCTAGAACGTTCCTCTACATTCTACCAAAGACAAGAAATACTCAGTTCTTCAGCCCTTGAGTAAACCCATATTCAACAAATGAGGGCCAGCCATGGGATTCATTCCCTGTTCATTAGGAGGCAGGAAAGCAGAACTGTCCTCAAACACCTAGTAGGAGAGATACTCAAAGGATTTTTCCCAGTATGGTTCTTTGGGAGCTGGGGAAGTATGGAATGGATGGGGAGGGTCTGGCCACCTTCTGGGAGGGAAGTGAAGCAGCGTCTTAACATTAGTCCAGCTCATCTCTATGCCCTGACTTCCTTCCACAGACCAACCATCCACATAGACAGCTCGCTCCACGCACACACATGCACACAAACACACCAAGCACCCCAAAACTCAATGGAGGATCAGCCACAATGGCATTGACTCAAGTCTCAGTGTTCTTAACTCTGATTGGCAGGGCTGGGGGATGCCAGAAAGAGAATAATATAAGATCTACGATTGGTGAGAACACAGAGCTTCTCGAACTTTCCTGCGCTCAAGAAGGCTCAGAATTATGGTCAGGCTCGGCCCAGCAATGGAGCTAACGTGCCCTCCGGTCATACCATGTCAGGTGTTGGAGTGGCAGGCTCACAAAATGCCAGTGAATAAGAGACAAAGTTTGCCAACCTCCTATGAACCAGTTACTCCCATTTATTTCCCCCCATTCACATCCGGGTCACCAAACACCATTCTACTTCAAACAAAAACTATCTAAGCTTCTAAAGAAACAAGATAAAGTGGGGCTCCTATCTCCCACCATATATTGCAGAGCATTCTGTAGGATTCTAGAACTTCTAAAGGGATAAGGTCAGACTATAGGTAAAACCCATCATCTGAATCTGAGGCCCCAGAGCCTGGCACCTCACTACCCTAGAGGCAGTACTGGGATTCCAGGAAAAGGAGAGTCCTGGGTCTTGGGCCACATGCTAGGTTATCCCAGCAGAGTCCATCGTTCCTCTCTGGGGCCTTGGCCCAGGCTGGCCAGAGAAGAATACTGAGGCTCTTCCACAAGAACGTGGGCAGCATCAAGCAAGGCCAAGGTGAGTGAAGAGGAGAGAGATGGTCCTTGCTGCCTTTGACCCAATGGCTCCTATTTGGAACTGTCCTCACATCCCCCATTATAGGCGTCTCATCACTTTCCTAGAAAGAACTAGATAGGTGCACAGCCCATGCTCAGCTGAGATCAAAACACTGCACACCATGAGCACCAGATGTTGAAACTGCACCAGAAAATTAGTTAATAATTAAAACAGAGACAAGAGGTTACAGCTTGGTGGATCTAGACCTAAGACTCCCGGGTCATCTCCTACTCCAACCCCTACAACTTAAAATATTTTGAGTACAGAAAACCCAGGTATCTGGACGTAAAACACATGACAAGGCCAGCCTGGTAGGGAAGAAACACATGTCACACTGGCAGCTATGGCTGGGGGCCCCCCACAGCCTGGAGCCTACCAACAGCCCGAGATGGGTGCTGCTCTCTGGTTGCTTCAAGTTCTCTAATAGCTACCACACTTATCTAATCATCTTCCTGGCCTTTGAGGTCATTTTGGCTCATGACCTGCACTTCAATGTACTCAACCTGACAATTGATCTATTAAATAAAACATCATGTCACTTAAAAGTCCCCAGGGCCCTCATGACTTGGTCTAGGGACTGTCATCACCAAGGAAATGACAGTTCTCAACCACTGCTTAGTAAGCTGGAGCCAAGTTTTTTCTCCCTGGGAGTAATCCCTCCTGATCTCCCAACATTGATAGAAACTAGGGAATTTGAATATTCCACTTTAACCTAAGACCAACGCAAGATTTAGGTCATTCCTAGCCTGGAAAATACATGTTAGTCTGATTGTCACATGCCCCCCCCCACCACACCCAATATATACTCTTTTGTATTATTTTCCAAACCTTTTGGAAGCAAGGATTTTGGCTTTGTCTCCCACAACACAGGATTTGCCATGCCATGGAATATAGCTATAAGCAAGGGGAAAAAGCTGTTGATGCGAATCTTTCCATTTTATTAGAACTTTCTGGCCTTCTCTTTTTTCTGCACTGCATTAATGAGCTCCTGGATTCTTTGGTTCCTCGTCTTTACATACAGTCCTGGTCGTCTAGGGATCAGGTTGGGGGACTGGACCTCTTCATCCACCCCATGGATCTGGTAGGGGACATCCACAGCATTGGTTTCTGGGTGATCCTCAGTGGCATTGACGCTGGAGACATTGAGAGGGATCTCCAAGGGAGGTCCTGCCGAAGGCTGCACCTGAGTAGCTATAGTGGGCCCCGGGAGTGTGGGCATGAACACATCGATGTCATTGTGCTTGCCGGGTGGAGATTCCACACCTGTGTCCTCTGTGTTGCTGAGGTTGTGGGCCGGGTTGCAGGACTTGCAGCAGAGCTTGTTGTAGCTGGGGATGGAGCAATAGCGAGACAAGACTTCCATCCTACAGAACATTGACTTGTCGCCTTGGCACTGGCCCTCTGAAAGAGAAGAGTGGGAGAAATAACCAAAGGACAAGGTGAGGGGGACAGGTACCCACCTTCCTGTGCAGATTGCTGGAGGAGGCATGTGACAGAGTCCAGAGGCAGCACAGAGGCAGTGAGCTTGTGTGGAGAGCCGGTATAATTGCACGGTCCAGGTCTCTGAGCAGGGTGGCATTCACAGACCCCCTCCCCCCACACACACACCTGGAGTGCTCCCCTCCTGCAAGCAATCCCCAGCCGAGCCTGCTTTCTCAGTGTATATCTAAGGTTGAGACAGAAATGAGACATTCTGTTCTTAAGAGAGACTCAAAGTTCAACTTTAAGGATGTGACTTAACCAAATCTTCACACTTGACCTCTCAGTGGAATCTCAATGTACTTTTGTGGCAGGATTTGACTCTATGGTAATGTACAAGTAATAACCATACTAAAATTCAACCTAAAAGAACCAGTCTCAGCTAGAGCCTCACTGTGTGACACCTGTCTTGACCTGACCTCCCAAGGTGTTTCTGTCAGATACTAAAGACTCAGGCTTGTGGAGGTCTTTGGACACTTACCCAAACTTATCAGACATATCCTGTTCTGCCACTGCTCCAACCAGCTACGACCCAGATGCACTAAATCAGGTATCTTATCACACAGTCCTGGAAGCTGACTAATCCAACAGCCATTCCAATTCAAGGATTACCTGTAGAAGTCAGGAAGCTATACAGGGCCATGGGCCAGATCCATCCTTTTATCTGGTTTTATAAAGTTTTATTGAAACACACCACGTTTATTCTCACTGGCCACTTTCCCACTATAACAACAGTGGCCTAACTGTGACAAAGGTCAGATGAGCTCCAATGTCTAAAATATTGGCAGAAAATGTTGGTTGACTCTGGGTCAAGGGCAATCTTTAATTAGTGGTTAGCCAAAGGCAGTGTTCAGTTGATGGAGACGGCCCTAAGGGTTTAGATCCCTTCTCAGGATGCCCTCCTTCCAGTTAGCTTACTAAGTAGTCTTCTCTGTCTGGTTTCCTTTGACTGAACTGTACAACTTCAGTTTTGAAAAATTAAAACAAGTCAATGAGTGAATTAAAAAAAAAAAAAGCCACAGGTTAAGAGCTTGGTGTACTGCCTGGCAGTGGTGGCGAACGCTTTTAATCTCAGCACTTGGGAGGCAGAGGCAGGAAGATCTCTGGGAATTCAAGACCAGTCTGGTCTACAAGAGCTAGGTCCAGGACAGTCTCTGAAGCCACAGAGAAACCCTGTCTCGAAAAACTGAGAGAGGGGGGAGCTTGGTGTACTAATAACCAAAAAAACAAAAACAAAACTTGTCAGTCAGTCCTCTGTGCCCACAGGCTCTACATCCTTGGATCCAGGTAAGCATGGACAGGATTTGGGGGAAAACACTGTATTAAACAGGCTCCTTTGTGGTCAGTGTTCCAAAAAACAACACAGTAAAAGAACTATCTATGTAGTGCTTACATTGTATTGGAAATTACATGGAATCTGGGGTGATGCAAAGTGTTTGGGAGGATGCACACATTATATGAAAATCCTAGACCATTTTATTGTAGCCATCTGCAAGATCAAGGAGTGGTGACAATCCTTATTGAAAGTGCACCAGTGGTTGTGTCTTTTTAAACAACGCTGCTGACCAGACAGATCTCCTAGATAAAGGGGCTGTCAATTACACTTCCAGCAGGCTGGGCTGTGTGTCCCAAGGCTCTGGATGGTGAAAGGTCACCAAGATAATTTTTTTTTATGATATTTGATCTTCCATTCCATTCCCAATGACAACTAAATAGCAAGATCTCTTGGATTTTTTTTTTTTTTTTAAGATAGGGTTTCACTATGTAGACCAGGCTGCCCTTGAACTCACAGAGATCTGCCACCAAAGTGCTGGGATTAAAATCATGTACCACCATGGGTGGCCAAAACTATTGGCTTCTAAGAAATGATGATAAATCATTGAGAATGTATACATGGTTCATATAGTCCCCTTAAGAGCTAAGCATGGTCAGTCCTGGTTAGCATTTGGATGGGAGATATTAGGTCACCTGAGTGCCCCTCCTCCAGTCTTGGTGTTATATGAATTCCATCTGGATTATTGATTGTTCTCATTAGTAGTTTTCATGAATGCCTTTTAAAACTTATCATTTATTTTAGGAGAAAATTGATAGTCCTGCACAGGCATCTGAGTTAGAGAGAGAGAGAGAGAGAGAGAGAGAGAGAGAGAGAGAGAGTGTGTGTGACAGATGCTGGGAAAGACACAAAGCAAGAAGTTGTCCCTGATGTCACAAAGGGTAGAGAGAAGCAGGAGGGATGGCTTGGTGGGAGCAAATACACCATGGTAAATAAGTGGTGGGCTCATGAGCCCATTTCATCATTCAAAAGCTCATGAAACTAATTTATAAGGTGTGTGGCACCTTCCTGTCCATCATGGGCTTTACATATGCCCTGTGCAGGTGACAACCTGGGCCATCAGGAGCACTAGAGTGAGGTTGGTTCCCTTAGAAGGCAGCTAATCTAGACTCATTCCTGAGAGATGGACTGAGGGATATAGTACTGTTGATGTGACAATATTGAGGGCCCCATTTCTCTTCAGCCATGATTCCTTTGATTAACAAGAAGAGCTGTGGACAGTAGACAGTAGACCCAACCACAGCTCTTATGATATCTTGGAGTCTAGGGCCCTAGGCCTGGGCCAATCCCATTCCTTAGATGCTGGGTCATCTCCTATTGTTCTTTCTCATTACCTTCTGACCTGCCTTACTGTTTCCTGGCACTGGTGAACATGAAGCAGGAATCCCACCTCAGGGAAGGTCCCTGCTAAGCCCTGACCCACTGCCTGGTCATTGTTAGGAGAGAAGAGGACACAGGCACACGCACTCGCACACGCGCGCACACACCCCCACACACAGACACACACACACACACACACACACACACACACCCCACACTGCCCTGCTTCTCCTAAACTGACTTTCCCAAGACTGCACCCCTCCCCCATCCCTTGGCTGATTGGAACCTACTCTTTATGAACAGGCATCTCAAGGCAGGACATGACCCGACAGTGGCTCAGGAGACAAAAGCTGTAACCCACATTTCTGCTCTGATCCCAAGAAAAGAAGCCAGCCCCTTCAGTACCTAGGAGCAGAAAAACCTAGACAACTCTGCAAGGTCCTCACTTAGCACTGACAGTTCAACACCCAAGGTGGAGTGTAACAGCCCTATTTTGAAAAGTTCTTTGGTTTGTGTGTTAGTGAAAGATGGATCCTAAATATCTATGTTGGGCAGGGGGATGGGGTAAATGGAGGGGGGCAGCGAAGTCACTGGAACCAGAAAACAGGTGATTAATGCTACTGGATGGTGTCACATGACACCTCAATGCTACCTGCCAGGAAGGTGAAGACAACAAGCCGCCAGCTGACCAAACCCAAGCTCCCAGTTGAACTGAATTTTTATTGAGTTTATTTGTGGGGTGCATGACAAGAGGTCTTTCCATCATTAGTAAGAATAAAATGTCATTTTCACAGTCACTTTGGCACACACTAATGTCTCATGGAAAGAAAGAAAGAGAAAAGAAAAGATAAAAACAGAAAAGCAATGACGACAACAAAATCTACATAATACGTCATTAAGTACATACAAAATACTAATAAAATATCCCTGATAAATCAAAGTGCGTACAGACAGGAGGCAAATGCCTAGGACCGTGTTGCACCATTTGCAACCACACAGGTCACTCACATTGCCTCGTCAAAGTTGGAAGTTAACAGTCATGAGAGGATTAATTTGCAGTTACACACCAATTATTTACATAACAGTAATTAGTGCCAAGATGAGTAGGAGGAGGCTTGGCTGCGTGGTCCAGCAGGAATTAGAGTTATTAACAGAGGAAGGTGGCTGGGGCCAGGTGGGGCTGGTAGGACTGTCAGTTGGGAGTGCTACATTGGTCACGGCTAAGGACCCAGGTGTGTCACCCTCTGGGTGTAAGGCCGCGCTGTGGGAGCTCCTTGTAGGAGTCCCCACAAAACAGTCAGCGCCATCTGGCCAGGTGGGCATCAGAGGAGGACCCCTTTCGTCAGAGACAGATGGACTGCCTGTTTAGTCCCTTCACATACAGATGGTTCAGAGAGGGAGCAAGGCCATATGGATTTAGAAACCTTACCCTTGGCAAACGGTGGGCAAAATGGATGGGGTCCTCCTAGATCTTTAGTGCCTGCCTCCTACCTGGATCACATTCCCCCATCTGAGGCTGGAGTTAGCAGCCAATTCTGTTAGCTTTCAACTTTAAGGCATCTTCTACATAGTGTTTCTAAGCAAAAAAAGCAATAAAAATTGAGGTATTCTGTAGTTGTTCACACTGGTAGGTGAGGCACATCCATAACTGTCAATCAGTCAATGGTCAATCAATCAATCTCACTTTCAATCCTCTGAACCGGTCATATGCACACGACAAGAAAAAGGCCATTGGAGCAAATGGACAGAGAATGGAAGTGGTGGTGTGTCCATGACGTCCCGTTTCAGGGACATGTCTCCCTGCCTCCTCCTCCATCTGAGAGGACAGGGGGGTGGGGGCCAAGGGCTGTGTAGGTTGGGTGCAAAGGCCAGACGGAAGCAGGCCATAGTTTCACAAGTCAGAAAGGACACACTGAGCAAAGGGAGACAGCAGCAGTGACAGCAGCAGCAGCCGGGAAGCCCCTGACACCGCAGGAAACTTGGGGTCTGTCACCCCGGCACAGGAGATGCAAAAAAAAAAAAAAAAACGCACACCGTAGAGACCCCTGTGGTCTCACCTCAATGGTGGTGGCGTCTGAAAGGGGATGGGGCTGGCTTCCCCTTGGAGTTGACCGCAGCTTCAGCCTGGAGGGATGTGGCCCAATGAGGCAGTCGCCATGGCGAGGTGGTCATACTCGCACAGTGGCCTCAGGCCCCTCCGGCACCACAACAGATCTTTGCCCCTTTACAAGCCATCACAAAACCAGGTCCTGGCCCCCTTACAAGAGGCCAGTGTCCCCAGACCAGGCCTCCTTGAGGCTGGCCCTCGCTCACTGCCACCAAGTGGTACAAGCAGGCACACAGGCCCAGAGAAAACAGATTCACCCAGAGAGCGCTCAGCAGGAGTCAGGGAAGCTTTCCATAGAGAGAGAGGAGGGGAGCCCAAGGCAAGCTCCACAAGGCGCAGGGCATGCACTGGAGGGCAGAGGCAGAGTTATAAACGGGTCGGTTACTTGACGAGATCTTCCGGATGGGTGAGTCAGGGTCAGGCCGGGACAGCCACTGAACCACGTAGCTCTTCTTGGAGGGATCCGAGATGTTTCCTGGAAGGAAAGAGGAGGCTGCAGCTGCCAAGGTACCACTAAGGACCACCACCACCACTATACAACATCGGGAGCAAAGCAGCTCACCTCCAGGCATCCTGGGGCCCAGTGCAGCAGGCAGGCATGGTTCCTGTTCCTGGAAAACTGGTCTAGTCTTCTGCCTGTCTGGCCCCTGGGTCCCAGCAATGTCTCTCGAATTGCCCACCTCAGGCCCATCCATCTGCCAATCCATGTCCTGTTCCTTCATCCTCTTTACCACCTTACTTCCAGGGTTACTTGTCACTCATGCTTGTACTAAAGAAACATGGTGAGGATGACAAATCCTGCCACCCCTACCAAGAGTATCACCTGACCTCTTGCACTCTGTCCTCTGTAGAAGAGAATAGTAGGGATGGGGTCTAGCCTTGAGTTGCTGTGCGGATCAAGATGTTGAAACACATGTGATACTGGACCAGGCATCTGCCCAGTATTCTTAGATGTTGCTCTCAAAGAACACAGGGCACCCTCTTCTCACATGGGCATCCCCTTCCTATACCGGCATCTCTGCCACATACTCCTGCAGGCCACACACTCCTGCTGGCAGAGTCCTGCTGTGTTGTGGTTCACTGTGGGCCATTGGAGTTTAGAGCTGTAACATCATGCCACGAAGGCAGGGATGGGCTGAGACCCCTCCCCTATGCACATCAGGACCTGTCTAAGGACTCCCATGTGTCAACTGCCCCCCCGCCGCCGCCATCCTAGTTCTTTCTAGGGTAAATCTCAGCCCTGGCTGGGAGTGCTCGTGCTCAAGTTCAAGTTCACCCATGACAAGCTCAGCCGTTTTGGAAGAAGGGCAGAATTTGATTGCACCAGGCCCCCACTTCCCCTCTCCTATGCTGTTGCATTGTGAGGGCTGGGGTAGCACAGGGCTTACGGGGACAGGGTGCAAGCCTGCAGATCCTTGCTGTCTCAGGCCGCTCCTCCCGGCAGACACCAAAATTATCATCGGCAGTGCGGCAGAGTACTGGCCGTTCCTGGGTGCCGTTGCCACAGGTTACCGAACACTGTAGATACAGAACCGATAATCAGAATCACCTCCCATCCTGAGCCACATGCTCCTCAGGCATGTGACTGATGACCCATGGGGGATGGTGTGGGGCAGAGGGTGGGTCTTGTCCCATGGGGGCTGTCTTAGAATGTGCGTACTCATCTTTCAGGGCTACTGTGATGCTAGCACCTCTGGTCTTCCCTTTCTCCCATGGCTTGGATATGATTTGAGCATGTCATTCCAGATCTCTGTGTTGGAAGCTCTGTCCCCATTATGGTGGTAATGGGAAGGGGGGTAAAACCTAGTGGGAGGCTTCTCCTGACCTGTTTGGACCTTGGCTCCCTGTGGGATCATTCTCCCATGTATTCAATCATGGTGCCATATATCATGAGGTCCTCCCTCATAAGGGTAAAGTTGATGATGCCAGCATCGTGGCCTTAAACCTTCAAGACCATGAAGTAAAGAAGCCTCTTCATACAGTAGCCAGAAACCCTCTATCCTGCCATAAATTCCCAGGAAAGTAAAAACAGAATTACTATATGACCCATTGCACCTGCATATATACCCAAAGGACTCTAAGTCAACAAACCACAGGGACACCTGCACATCTGTGTTTATATCTGCACTAGCCAGGAAATGGATCCAGCCTACAGATGCACACAGAGAAAAAAAGTGGTCATGTTTGTATGTGTGGGTACATGTATGATGTGCAGGGCACATGTATGTGTATGCATGTGCGTGTAGAGGTCTGAGGCTGCCATTCAGAGTCTTCTTGACCACCCCCCACCTTACTCATCAAGTCAGGGTTTCTCATCTGAACTCTGAGTTTGCTGACACAGCTAATGTAGTTAGTTAGTGAGCTTGCCCCTGGGATTGCATCTCTGACTTTGAGCTCTGGAACTATAGGCAGGCTGCTATGTCTAGCAGGCATTTATATGGGTGCTGAGGAATCCAAACTCCAGTCTTTGTGCTTGCACAGCAAGTATTTTAACCACCAGAGCCATCTTCCTAGATCCTACACATTCAGCCATAAGGAAAAAAGAAATCAAAGCATTTGCTAGAAACTGGACAGAGCTAGAGATCCTATTAAGTAAAATAAGCTGGGCTCAAAAAGACACATTCTATTTCTCCCCAAATGTGGAAGTGTGTGTGTGTGTGTGTGTGTGTGTGTGTGTAGGTCATGACACTCTCCAGGGGTACTATTTGGGGAGAGGAAAAAGGGAGGGAAGGCAATGGGAGTGGGAAGTGACTTAGAACGAATGTGTGTGAAGACGCCATAATGAAACCCTTTACTTTGTATGCCTATCTCAAAGCAGAGATGGGATCATTAGATAGTGAAGAAAAGCAATGCCATCATAAGGAGAGAATAGAAAGCATGTCTGCCCACAACACTCCCCACAAAAGGTACTCAAGCACCTCATTATGGTAATGGAAAGTGATTGAATACACTTCTCTGGCTGGAGGATGCTGAAGGCCCAGGAAAACCTGTAGTTGCAAGGGCTGGGGCTATTGCAACATCTCTGATCCAGCCCTGAAACCCTTGGCAGTCCCTCCTCTAACTTCCTCTCTAAACACAAGGTTCCAGTCCCCTCTAGAGCTCCCACCCACTTCATGACCCTGGGGAGGAACCAGATGTGTATTCATACCCCAATTGCTGGCAATGTGCTCATGCTAGCCCTGCACCCTTACCATGAATGTGGGGAAGAGCCAACTCAGCAGACTTGGGATTCTCAAATTCCTCACCATTCCTAAGCAACAGCCTGATTTGAGGAATGACTCTTGGGCAATTTCTGGGGACCTAACTCACAGAAGGTTCTGTGTGATTAAAAAAACAAAACAAAACAAAACAAAACAAAAAACGGGCGTTGGTGGCACACACCTTTAATCCCAGCACTCAGGAGGCAGAGGCAGGCGGATCTCTGTGAGTTCGAGGCCAGCCTGGTCTCCAGAGCGAGTGCCAGGATAGGCTCCAAAGCTACACAGAGAAACCTTGTTTCGGAAAAACAAAACAAAAAGAAACCAAAAAAAAAAAAAACACAAAAGATTCTGCATTCTTGAGAGGCCTTGGGGCAGGTTGTACCAGCTTTGCTAGGTAGTTTAAACCAGTGATGCAATTTATACGCAGTAAATATGTTTTCCGTCCTTCTGGGATCTGAGGTCTATCACTATGCAACTGGTTCCCTGACAGAAACCCTGGACGTCCAGGCTGCAGCTCCCACTGGTACCTTGCCTATCTCAGACTTACCCAAGGTCAATTTGGGGTCAAGGGCCAAGAGAATGGCTTACCAGGGACCAGGATCCAGCCCGCCACCGCCCAGGGCAGAGCTCACGGTTGCAGGCCCTTCGGCTTTCAGGACGGTGGTCATTGCAGTGTTTGGTGTGCACGGAACGAGTGGTGTTGTTGTGTAGGGGTTGAATACAGCGTACGGAGCGCACCTGCATGCCTGTTCGCCCGCAGCTCTGACTACAAGGCTCCCATTCACCAGCAACCCACCTGTCAGGGCAGATTGATGGGTGGTCAGGGAACCAGTCTGATTGTGGCCCAGGTGGGCAGTGAAACCAGCAATGTCAGCCTGTTCCCTCCTGCAACTGAGGCTCATCCTCATTTCACAAAAGTGCCCTCCATGTGTGCAGGCTTGTATGGAGAGGAAACTAAGGCTCAATTACTCCTCTGCTTGTCAGAGACTGACAGGCTCTGCTGGGGCTAGTGGCCTAATGGGTTCTGCCCCCTGTCTCTTCTCTCAGGGGTCCTTATCCTGATCACAGTATCATCTACTGTTGGCATCATGAACCCTCCCCAGCAACACTCAAGAGCACTGCGGATGTCCCCTGAGCCTCTGTCCCTGCTTGTCGTCTGCCCTGACCTGGGCTCAGAAATGCATCCTGCCAGGGTCTGAGGGTCTGAGAATCAGCACTGTTGCTTAGAAACATCTAGTACAGCATTGAAAGCCAGCCCAGGCATTCTGGGCCTCGATTTCCCCACTTACGTGTTAACATTTTCTGTCTTTTTTATGAGATGCACATGGAACTTCCCTTCAGTGGGTCTGCACCTTTTACCTATTGTGTGGTGGGTGAAAAGCCTTACACCCCATGAGATGCCAGACCCAAGACCCAGGGCCCAGTTTCATTCCTCCCTCCACAATGTGCCCTTGGGCTATGGCCCTCTCCCAGCACTCACACAGGCTGGGAGCACTCCTGAGGGTTGCAAGCTCGGCGAATGGCTTTGGGCTTGGCAAGGGCACTGCAGAAAGCTCGGTGCACCATCTTGCTGTCCAGCCTCC